GTTAATATTTACTTATTCTGTGATTGTTTTATTTTCCAACTAGGTTATATATAAACTTCAAGACAGGAAATTAAAAACAATTTCTTTAGCAAGGACTCTTCTATTGACTACTCTCTTGCAAGCAGTATTCTAGGTGAACAAAAACAGACGCAAACTTCCTGCTTTAGTGGAGCATACATTTCAGTGGATGTTTCGTACCTACCTTACCTAGGGTACCAAATTTATAGTGTCCAATAATGTGTTCTTGATAAACACTAATGTTAAGCTTCTCAATCTTCAGGTTTTTCTGAGTAAACTTGCATTGCATTAAAAATTTTAAAAGACACTACTGGCTTAAGTTGCCAGAAGTAACTGTTTGAGTCAGTACTAATTTGCTACTCCCATATTTAGTAGTGCTTCAGTAAAATTTTAGTCAATGACATTAATACTAGCTTATCTTAAATTCCTGTTTTATTTAAAGTACTGATTATTTTACTTTATTCTTTTTTAAAAAATATTTTATTTATTTATTCATGAGAGACACAAAGAGAGACAGAGAGGCAGAGACACTGGCAGAGGGAGAAGCAGGCTCCAGGCAGGGAGCCTGACGTAGGACTCAATCCTGGGTCTCCAGGATCAGGTCCTGGGCTGAAGGCGGCGCTAAACCGCTGAGCCACCTGGGCTGCCCTATTTTACTTTATTCTTTTGTTAAGGAGAGACGTTGTAGAAAGTTTGTATTGTATATGTCAAATTTGTGTTAGATCTCTGAGAGTTGAGAGAAGAAAAATCTTTCTTGGAAACTCCTGTTCCAGTCCTGCTCTAAAAACAGGCATGCAAATGGAATGATGACTACCAGTAGTTGATTTCCTTTCAGTCCAATATGGCAGTGAGTAGTGAGTGGTTAGAGATTGTGAAAATTGGGCAGGGAGGCAAAAACGCATTAAACTGTGAAATTGGCACATTTTGTTTGTTCTTTTTTTACCGTCTCTTACACTGTTCTGAAAATTTTTAAGGCACACAAACCAAAATACCTAGAAAGGGTTCCTGATTATATTTTTAAAGTTACAACTCAAATGACATCCTCTCCATCAAGCTTTTTATCAAATAAGTAGTAATTATTTCCTCCTTTGTTTACTCAGGATACTTTGTTAAACCTCTGCTATAGCACTAGTCATATTTTGTTACACAGGTCCCCCTTTATATTCTTATGTATATTAGTATATATAAGGATATGTCCAATCCATCCCCAGTGGATGCTTGAAACCTTGGATAGTACCAAACCCTATATATATATTGTTTCCTTCAATATACACATGGCTGTGATAAAGTTTCAAAGTTAGACACAGTAAAAGATTAACAATACCTAATAATAGAACAATTATAACAGTGTACTACAATAAAAGTTAGGTGAATGTGGTCTTTCTCAAAATAACTTATTGTGCTGTACTCCCCCTTCTTTTCGTGATGATGTGAGATGATAAAATGCTGATGTGATGAGAGGGAGTAAGGTAAATGATGTTGGCATTGTGGTGTAGCATTAGGCTGCTGTTGACCATTTCGTGATATGTCAGGAGGATCTTCTGCTTCTGGACCCTGGTTGACTGCAGTTAACTGAAACTGCAGAAAGTGAAACTATGGATAAGGCTGTGGGGTGGGGTGGCAACAATATTGTATCTTTCCCTGGATTGTGAGATCCTTGAGAGTGGGAACTTACTCATCTCAGTGTCTTTATAGTGATCTTATTCATAGACATGATATAAATTGTATATTGTATTAAACTGTATCTAAATAGAATATGTGACTACTAATGGTTAGTGATACTGAAGTCTCTTCTTAGTCAAAAATCTACACGGCTATTAGTTTTGTCAGAAATATTACATTGCCATCCCCAGCCTATCCCCAAATCAAATTAAATTTAGTTCTCATGTTTTACTGTTCAGGGTGAGAGTTGTTCATCTTCCCTAAGGTGTTTGTACAGAGTATTCTGGGGGCTTGTGTAGCCCCTCCCTCTGAAACAAAACAAAACAAAACCCGAGAGGAAGGCAGAGATCATTCCAGTTTTAACTTTTAAGATGCTCCATAAGTTTATGTGAGCCTTTAAAAGAAAACCTGGTCACGGGGATCTTTTGTCTTGGTTGCAAAGGCACAGTGCCTAGTTTGCAGTTCCCCTGATGCCATTCTATCAGAGTACTGTTGTTTGAGTGAGAACTCACAACTACCATTTCTTCTTTTTCTAGTTTCTTAAGGTGAAAGTTTAGGTTATTGATTTGAGATCTTTTTTCTTTTATAATATAGGCATGCATACTGTAGCATTTTCTCTAAGTATGGCTTTCATTGCATCCATAAATTTTGGTATTTTTTAATTTATTTGTTATGTTTTGTTTTTCTTTTTCTTATTTCTCAAAATATTTTCTGATTTGGATCATGATTAATTCTTTGACCCATTGATTATTTAATGGAGTCTATTGTTTAATTTCTACTATTTGTTAATTTCCCAAATGTGCTACTGTTACTAATTTCTAATTTCATTCTGTTGTACTTGGGAGTACATACTTTGAATGATTTCAGTCCTTTTAAGGCTTGTTTTATGGCCATACATTTGCCCTCTTCTGGATGGCATCCCATGTTCACTTGGAAAATAATGCATGCACTGCTGTTTTTGAGTGGGATATGCTATAGATGTCTGTTAGGTCTAGTTTTTTTATATTGTTGATCAAAAATTTTTCTTCTGTGTGTTCAAATCCATTGAACCCTTGTAATAATTTTTTCATTTCATTTATATTGTACTTTTCAACTGTAGAATTTTTTTTTTAAGATTTTATTTATGTGAGAGAGAGAGAAAGCAAGAGAGAGAGAATGAGCAGGGGGAGGGGCAGAATGAGAAGCAGACTCCCTGCTGAAAGGGGAGCCTGATGTAGGGCTCAATCCCAGGACTCTGGGATCATGACCTTAGCCCAAGCAGACACTTAACTGACTGAGCTACCCAGGCTTCCCTCAACTGTAGCATTTCTACTAAAAAAAAAAAAAAAAGTCTTTTTATTTATATTCTCTTTTTGAGGCCTTGCTGTATTTTCCTTTAGTTCCTGAGACATGGTTTCCTGTAGTTCTTTGGACATATTTTAAATAGCTGATTTAAAGTCTTTGTCTTGGGGCACCTGGGTGGCATAGTTGGTTAAATGTCTGACTCTTGGTTTCAGCTCAAGTCAAGATCTCAGGATTGTGAGTTGAGCCCTGTGTTAGGCTCCCCGCTCAGCAGGGAGTCTGCTTCCCCTCTCACTCTGCCCCTTCCCTGGTTTATGTACATTCTCTCTTTCTCTTAAAAAAAAAAAAAAGGAAAGAAAAAAATGAATAAATAAAACTTAAAAAAAATAAAGTCTTTGTCTTATAAGTCCAGTGACTGAGCCTCCTTAGTAAGAGTTTCTGTTGATTGCTTTTTTCCTGTGTATGAGTCATACTTTCTTATTACTTTGTATGACTTATAAATTTTGTTGAAAATAGTACATTTAGATAATATATTGTGGTAATTCTGGAAATCAGATTCTCCTCTCTTCCCAAGGTTTATTGTTTTTTCCTGGTGGTTGGTTGGTTGATTGGTTGTGACTTTTCTGAATTAATTCTATAAAGTCTGTATACTTTTTCCTCTATGACCACTAAAGTCCCTGCTTGGTTAGCTTAGTGGCCAGCTAATGATTGGATGCAGATTTCCTTAAAAACCTGGAACTGATAAGTTCCCAGTCTTTGCTGAAGAACTATATGTGTGTATTGGCATATACCTTAAACACTCAGGCATTTGACAACTCTGCTTTAGCCTTCACTTCCTGCTTGTACAGAGCTTCAAGGTCAGTCATAGGTGAGAGCTTAGAACCTTCTCAGGTCTTTTCTGAGGTTATGCACAGCCCTATGCATGTATGTAGCCTTATAGAATCCCAGGAATATGTCAGAGCCTTTAAAGTCATCCATGGATATCTCATAGCCCAGTTTTTCCTTTCAAGCTTTTTAGTCAGTCAGTTGTGTGCCCTGTTATATACTGCCTCAGGCATATGTAATGTTAAACATTTGCCTTTAATTATTTTCAACAAATGTCTCCCGAGAAGACTTTTTGCACTAGACAAACCCCAATTTAAATCAAATAAAGACATCTCTATATGTGAGGCCTTCAGGGAACCATCAGATAGTTGAAATAATGATAATTATCTGGATATGTGGTTTTGAAGGAGCTCCAACCCCATTCTGTCCCCTTTGATGACTGTCAGGCTACTAGTTTTTACCACAGTTGTGGGATGTTGATTTTCAAGGATACTACAGAGCTGGATCAGGGGAAGAAGAATGGAAATAAGGGTGCACTGAAACTGCAAAGCTCATTTTCTTACCAAGATATAGCTGTTTTTCTTGAAAGAACACTGTTTAGAATATTGCAAGTTTTGAATTAATTTCCAGAGTTCTGGAAAAGTTGATTTTGACAGTTTTTGCTAGTTTTATTGTTGGTTTTATGGAGGAGAGAATGTTTGGAGATCTTTGCTCTGCTGTTTTTGCATCACTCCCATCCTTTCCTGTTTCCTCCCCTGAGAAGTTAACTATCTCTTTCTTTTTTTTTTTCTTTTCTTCTTTTACTCTTCAGCTTAAAACACCAGCAACTATTCCATTTCTTTTGTGACAGTCCAACTTTATTTTTCTCAGTCAGTGGATGGGGTGGTCTTCTGTGTTCTTGACAACTTGTTTTTTCACTTCTGTTTCTTCTCAGGGTCTTCTGAAAGCTGTGAGAACAATTCAGAATTAATAACTCATAAATTATCCTACCAGACAAAAATGGAAAGGTGATAATGAGGTTGGGGGAAAAAGTGATGTCAGTCAAATAGACTACTATCAGCCAAAAACCCAACATTTTTCATGGACTTCAAATAAATGACTAAAATAATAGACCAAGGAAAAATATAAAATTAATTTTAGTATTTTGAGAAAGCTTTTTAAAATTATTTTCTTCTATAATTGTTTCTAATTTGTATTATTTTGTTCTTTATCAGGATGCCCGACATGCAGCAGAAGGAGAAATATATACCAAACTTAATCAAAAAATTGACGAATTTGTTCAGCTTGCTGATTATGACTGGACAATGTCTGAACCAGATGGAAGAGCTAGTGGTTATTTAATGGATCTTATTAATTTTTTAAGAAGCATCTTTCAAGTGTTTACTCATTTGCCTGTAAGTATACAAATTTTTAAAAATTGTATTGTAATTTTTCTTACTAAAGTATATTTTAGAATTTAATCTTACTTTGAGGTTTACTTGTTCAAACCAACTTCCTAGCTTGAATATTTTCTTTCCATTATTATAGATCCATTTGTGAGGACTTCTAACTTGCCAGTTGTTTCAAGTTTTAATTTATTTTAATTTTATTTTTTTATTATTTATTTATTTATTTATTTATTCATGAGAGACACAGAGAGAGAGTGAGTGAGTGAGAGGCAGAGACACAGGCAGAGGGAGAAGCAGGCTCCATGCAGGAGCCTGACGTGGGACTCGATCTGGGGTCTCCAGGATCACACCCTGTACTGTAGGCGGCGCTAAACCACTGCACCACTGGGGCTGCCCAATTTATTTTAATTTTAATTGGAATAACTAGAACTCTTTTTCTACCAAAACCAAAGCAAAACCCTGAAATTCAGTGTAGACTTAAATTGAAACAGGTGCAATTCTCATAAAAGTCCATATAATCAATGGCTTTTCCAGTAGAAAGGCAAAGAAATTATTCAATATTTTTAGGCCAGAGATTAAAAGAAAAACTGGAACATTGTTTTATCCTGATATATAGTCATATGTGCATCTATATTTTAAATAATCTATTGATGAAACGTTTATAAATAGCAGGGGCATTTGGGCATGAATAGGCTAGAACAACAGTGGATTCTTCAGAGGAGGAATGCAAAGGCCAAAGAGATTATGTTGGGATGAACATACTTTCATTAGGTATATTCAGAAATAATAAAACTACTATTAAAACATGAGTGGTGCAGTTTTGTACAAATAAAATAGGAAAAACATTTGTTGACCTTTTTATCTCATAATATGATTAGCTGAACATAAGGGAAAAAAAAACAAACCTAGTTTGAAATAATAAAATATAGAAAGAAAAGAAAAAAAGATGTAGCTGAACACAAAAATATTTAATCTCAAGCCTACCCGACTACCTCCAACCATCTCTCTTGTTTAAAATGGAAAAAAAAAGTTATTCTCCTCATTTTTTGACTGTCTCCGTCATGAGTTGCTCCAAAGGGCAATTGAGAATAGTTGAAGGCAGGTGTTGCTAAAAAACAAATAGAAGAATTTCCTAAAGAGATTTTAATAGTGTATGTGTGCCAAAGAACTTTTAGAAGCTTTTCCAGGGATTATATTATATTCCTAACTGCTGTCCTTCTGTTGAAAAGGGAACCTGTATATATGTTTAATTCTTGTTTCAACTAATTTCTAAAGAAAATGTTCCTTAGGCACCTGAGTAGCTCAGCAGTTGAGCGTCTGCCTTCACCTCAGGTCATGATCCCAGGGTCCCCGGGTCCTGGGATTGGGTCCTGCATATGGCTCCCTGTGGGGAGCCTTCTTCTGCCTCTGCCTCTCTCTGTGTGTCTCTCATGAATAAATAAATCTTTAAAAATAAATAAGTGTTCCTCATATAGTATGGATTAAATAATTGTTGAATTAATTTGAATTCATTTTGTCAGTATACATCCCCAGCCAAAAGCAAACTACAAGAATACACGTGTGTGCACACATATATACACACATCCTATTTTTATGTTGCAATATCTGTTTCACAGCTTGACACAATGTGAAAGGTAGGAATTTTGTGCATAAGTTAGGTAGAATTAAGAGAGTTTATATGTTAGAAATGGTTGGGGCAAATACCTTACTTCAGGAAGCTAACATCTGGAGAGAAATCCTGCTTTCTCTTAAGGTGTAATGTAGTAACACTGAGGGAAACAGACTCCTGGCCTAACTAGATCATTCATGTAATCTATTATGGTATTTTGTATAGTTTTACGTGATTCTTTATATGCCATTTTGGATTTTAATGTCATCTAAGAAAACTTTTTCCGTAAGGGAAATAAGCTTTTATACAATGCAGAGCAACAAATGCAATAATAAAATATAGGGCATGATTAAATAAATAGAAAATTATAGTTCACAGCTAAGAAAAGAGAAATGGACTTAACAACAGTATATTCTTATTCAAGAAATAAACTAGAAACATAATTCCCAAGCAAAAATATTAAATTATTGACTGTAGTAAGTTTTAACTAGTGTTGATAATTATATTATGGCTTAGTATATTAATTTTCTGAAACACTAAAATTATATGTTCAAATATATTGTTTTCTTTTGAGTAAAGAACAGAGGCAGTATTATTAAACAAATTATTTTTCTAAGCAGTATATGTTATATAAGCTACCATTTTTATTTTAATTTTTTTTTGCTATTGTTGTCTTTTGGTGGTTGAGGGGGCAAGAGGGAAAGGGGGAGGGAGAATCCCAACTTGGGGGTTCTCGATCTCATGACCCTGAGGTCCTGACCTGAGCCAAAATCAAGAGTTGATTACTTAACTGACAAAGTCACCCAGTTGCCCCTATTTGAATGCTTTAAATAAAATAAAAATAATTCCTTAGTTACAGGTTACCCTGGGACCCAGATGGAGGAAGGGGCTTCTAGACTCCTTTAATTCTCAAAGAAGCTTCAGAAGATTATTTATCACATTTAGTTTCAAGTCAGCTTAAGCAAAAATAGCTATCCCACTTACAGACACGAAGAGTTAAGTAGTGGCCATGTTCCCTGTCTCTCCTAGTTTTGACATTGTTCAAGGTCAGTGCAGTGAGTTAGAGTCAGTGGGATCTCTGAGACCAAGGACTACTCTTTTGAATAGTGCAAGTATTGGCCATTAGTGTAAATAATTGGGCACAGAAGTTGAGTCTGTGGGATAAAACTTTGATACCCCCAACCCTAGAAAGTAACTAAAACAGAACACTTAGTTTAAAAGCTCCATTCTTAGCTTCATTGCATATTTAGTTTTTGTCACTCCCTGCCACTGTTCCAGAAGAGTATTTTCTCAATCACAGGTAATTTGCTGACCACATTGCCTGGTACAGGTTGCATTGGTTCCCAAAAAGTCATAATCCAACCAATAGAATTTTGTTGTCTGCTCACAAGGTATGAGAACAATAGAAGTTAATGGATAATAACGATTTTGATGGGAGACCAGGAAAAGAACTTTGTTATTTTCACTTTGTAACTACATTGTGGTAGCAATAGGAAGCTGTAGAATTTGGAAGACCAGCAATAATATTCACTGTAGGTACTTCTTATTTGTAGCGTGGGATGAGTGAGAGAGTTGGTATATTACTTCCCTCACCTGTTTCTCTTTACTTGCTCTGTTTTAGTCAGTGCAAGTTTATGTAGCAGATGAAAAAGTAATTTAATATGCTTCTATATTAAAATATTTATTCATCTGCATTTCCCCTTGCTCTAGCATAGAGGCGAGGCTCTCCACTGACCATAGAAAGCAACAGCAAGCTAAATAGGCAGTATTTGCAGTAATGACTGGTATTACTCCATTACCCAAAATGTTAAGCTGCCCTGTTAAATATATTATCTGCCTCAAGGGAACTTGCCTTTTTCTGACTCAGTTAAAGCAAACCCATTTATCTTTTATTGTTCTTGTGGACCAGGTTGCTGAAGTGAGGAGAGCATAGGATGGGATCTAGAATTAGAACAACTTATGCTTGAATTTTAGATTTGTGATTTACTAACCATGGGATCCTGGCAAGTTGTTTAACCTCTGAACCTTTTACCTTTTGCAAAATAGGCATAATCCATTTTCCTATAAGACTATTATAGGATGAATTGAAATAGTGTCTAAAGATATTGCTTGTCAGGGTGCTTGGCATAAAGTAAGTATTAATAATAGATGTTAATTTTGTATTTTCTTCTCCTTTCTTCCCTCTGTTACTGTTTTAAGGTCTTTTGTAGTATTAGTTTCATTTTTAATATGCTTTACTTTTTTTTCTTGTATATATGCCTACATTTTAGCTTGATACTATTTAGCTCTGAGCTCTATACTTTTACATTATGTAGCCATTAAAACCTTTAATTGTGAAAGATATTCACTTTAGAAAGCATATTTATGTGAATACTTATAACTTGAATATACTGCTTATAATAGCTAACAGATACCAGTGAAGTCTGTTTAGTATATGAAGTAAATATTATTTCATCCCTAAATTAATATTCGTGGAATCAGCAGTTTTTACTATTTCATATGTATAAGTAGCCCTTCTTGTTTCTAGTATTCTTTTTCCTGACAATAGAAAATACAGCTAAGTATAGAAGAAATAAAAATTACCTATTAACTTGTCAAAGGATAACCACTGTTAACATTTTGACATGTATTTTCTTTCATATTGGCAAGTCATTTCCTTTTACACAATTATGAGACTTAATTTAAGTCTAATTTATAAGTAAGTTTCATTTTTTTAAAAATAAGATTTTGTATTAGCTAGAAAATTTTAAATGAAAGGAATTTTAAAAGGTATTAAATATTCATTCACCACTTGTACGTATGTAAATAGAAAAAGTTGTTGAGCAGCTTAAACATACCTAGTTATTTTTCATGACGACTGCTAAGTGGAACTCTAACTCTGTGAATGTACTGCTTAAAGACTCAGCATTGGGGCAGCCCTGGTGGCCCAGCAGTTTAGCGCCAACTTCATCCCAGGGTGTGATCCTGGAGACCCCGGATCGGGTCCCATGTCAGGCTCCCTGCATGGAGCCTGCTTCTCCCTCTGCCTGTGTCTCTGCCTCTCTCTCTCTCTGTGTCTGTCATGAATAAATAAATAAAATCTTAAAAAAAAAAAAAGACTCAGCATTGGTCTGCTCCTAGAAAGAACAATGAACATTTCCTTTCTTCATAAATGCTAATAGTCATGTGTTTGTTTCAATAAAGATATTTTGTTGATTTATAACCACTAAAGGATATGTATAAATGGTAATAATGACTCTTTGATTTCTTCATATGTGATTGGCAAAGGGGACCCAATTTACCCAAATTCTATACTAACAAATGGTTATTTTTTACAGAAGTCAATAGAGGATATGCATTCATGATTCAGTTGCACATATTTCTTCCTTTCTCAGAACTCTATTTTATCTTTAGCCAT